TTTTTTTCTTCTTATTTTGTTTTTTAGGAACAAGACTTGGGGGGGAGGATTGGACTTGCTAAGGAAAGGAGCGGTCTTTACTATCTTGAACCATCCCAGAAAATCATGAGCAATTTGTCCTCATTTTTCCTTAGTTCCTCAAACAAAGATGTCATTTGACTGTATCACTTACGCCTTGGTTATCCCTTCCTTGGTCATCCATCTTTTAGTATCCCTTTTTTAGGGTTCTAAATATAATGTTTTCTCATTTATTCCAAGGATTAAATATTTTTGAATTTCATTGTGACATTTGTGAATTGACAAAACTTACCCGTGTATCTTTTCTTATTAGCAATAAAAGAAGTTCTCATCCTTTTCATTTGATTCATAGTGACATATGGGGTCCTTTCACTATACCTAATGTTTTTGGGGTTCGTTGGTTTGTATCTTTAATTGATGATTGCACCCGGGTTACATGGCTCTTCCTTCTTAAACAAAAATCTGATGTTGACATAGTTATACCTAACTTCCATTCAATGGTTCAAAATCAATTTGGGGTCAAAATAAAAAGCTTTAGGACAGACAATGCTAGAGATTACTTCAATCAAATTCTTTCACCTTATTTTCAATCACAGGGGATTATCCATGACTCATCATGTGTGGACACACCCCAACAAAATGGGTAGCTGAAAGAAAGAATGAGCATTTGTTCAACTCCACCTGAGACTTACTCTTTCAAGGGAATGTTCCTAAGTACCATTGGGGAGAAGCCGTTCTTACTGCCACACACATGATCAATAGACTTCCCTCCCGTGTGTTAGAAAACAATAGCCCTATAGAGGTCCTAAATAGCTTCTACCCTCACTTCAGAACCTCAAATGGCCTCACTCCCAGGGTATTTGGGTGTACTGCTTTTGTTCATGTCCACAAACAACATAGTGGGAAGCTAGATCCCAGAGCCATCAAATGTGTTTTCCTAGGTTACTCCTCCACTCAAAAGGGATATGAGTGTTACAATCCCTCTACCAGAAAATTTTACATCTCTACAGATGTTACTTTCACAGAAAATAAATCCTTTTTTTTCAAGTCCTCTCTTCAGGGGGAGATTTCCATGATGGAAGATAGTACTTGTGAGCCATTTGAACTACTTAAAACCCTTGACCTTCCACATGTGCCAACCCGTGTTGTTGAACCTAGATCAAACTCTCCTCCTATTCCAGCTGAACCCGAGTCCTCTGAAACAATCACATCTGAGTCACTTGATTCTGAACCCTTATTATCTCCTACTCCAACCAGTGTCACTAATGATTTCCCGAGATTTCCTCAGGTGTATTCAAGGAGAAAGGCCGTTCCTGAACTGACACAAGTCCAAGTATCCAATCCACTCTATCCACTATCTCACTATGTATCTCTCAAATGCCTATCACCAACCCACAAAAGATTCATTGTGAGTTTGAACACCATTGCCATTACTAACAATGTGTCTGAGACATTGACAAAAAAAGAATGGAGACGCTATGAAAGAGGAAATGAGTGCTTTAGAAAAGAATATAACATGGGAGATCGTTGACAAACCAAAGAAAAAAAATATTGTTGATTGCAAGTAGATTTTTACATTAAAGTACAAGGCTGATGTAGCAAGGCTGATGCTCTGATACCACTTGTCACCTCCCAAAAGAGCCCTTATGGGTGGCGGGCAACCCAAGACTTAAATACTGCTTTTCGGTTTTTTTTTTTTTTTTTTTTTTTTTTTTTTTTTTTTTTTTTTTGATATGCTCAATTAACAGTTTGATTTGATTTTCATTCATATTTGTCTCATAGTCACTACATAATAAACCAATTAAATCTGTTATAAGAAAAGTTAGTAGTAGTCTATTTCTCTCAGAAATGTAATAATAGACCCATTTGCATAAGAAAATAAATTACTGCTTCATAATTTATTTTCCAGAAAAGCTCTGCTTCACACCTCGTTGTCGCGAGGGATGACGACGCGCATGCGACCGGACTCATCGTCGCCGAGTTGATTGATTGAAGCAGAGAGGAAAGAATTCAACTGAAGCCTAAGCGGAGCAGAGGAATAGCGCGGTCTGCGTAGCCGGAAGATTTCCTGAATAAGAACTCCATCGTCTGCACTAATAGATTGAGGCTTCTCACGGGAGGTAAGTATAGCGGGACCGGCACCGCCGAGAACGCCGCCACCACAAATAGCTCCAACATCGAAGAAGAGGCACTAGATATCGAATGATGAATGAGTCATCATACCGAAGAAGATTGGTATGACTCTGATACCACTTGTCACCTCCCAAAAGAGCCCTTATGGGTGGTGGGCAGCCCATGACTTAAATACTGTTTTTCGGCCCTACACCTAGCTGATGTGGGACTATTTGTCCGTGACATTATCCTCCACCCAATCACATGACGCTCTCGTCACGGATCGGCTTAACCTAGGGTCTCACTAGACCATGGAGAGTCCACACACCTCCGGGAGTTGAAGGGGACACAAGTAACAAGGTGTGCAAGCTGAAAAAAGCCATTTATGGGTTAAAACAATCTCCTAGAGCATGGTTTGACAGAGATACAAAAGTCATGAAGGAATCTAAGTATAATCAAAGCCAATGTGACCTCACTCTTTTCATTAAGCATTCAACTACAGGGGGAGTGACTGCTCTTTTAATCTATGTGGACGACATCATAGTGACTGGAAATGATGAGAAAGAGAAGCATGAATTGAAGCTGAGACTAGTAAAATAATTTGAAATGAAGGAACTGGGGAAATTGAAGTACTTCCTCGGTTTTGAGGTGGCATATTCCACACAGGGGATCTTCATATCTCAGCAGAAGTACGTGATTGATTTATTGACAAAAGCAAGGAGGACTGGGTGTAAACCAATCGCTACTCCAATAGATCCAAACTATAAGTTGGGAGAAGCTAAAGAAGAACCAGCTGTGGATAAAAGAATGTACCAGAGATTGGTTAGCAAACTCATATACCTTAAGTATGATCAGTCAATTCCTGCATGATCCTAGAGAACCTCATCTTCAGGCCGCCTATAGGGTACTGTTTTACTTGAAAGGCAATCCGGGGAAAGGAATCTTGTTCAAAAGGAATGATACTCTTACTCTGGAAGCTTTCACCGACGCTGACTATGCTGGCTCCATAGTGGATAGAAGATCAACTACAGGATGTTGTACTTTTCTTGGAGGTAACCAAGTGACATGGAGGAGCAAGAAGCAGAATGTAGTGGCAGGGTCATCTGCAGAATCAGAGTTCAGGGCTATTGCTCAAGGATTATGTGAATTACTGTGGCTGAGAATCATCTTGGATGATTTAAGAATTCCATGGGATGGTC